CGAATTTTCCCAGGGTAACGGCTTAGTACTCGAAGAAGCTCAGAACCTAATTTCCAAAATTTGAATTTAATTAAAATCGATGCGATAAGTTTATCGCTATCTTCGATGGCCCGAACACACCCAGAACGCATATAGAACGTACAATCCCGGCGGTCAGGCGAAAAGGCCACATAACCATCCGCGCGGACGAATACCAGGAAGTCTTCGCTGGACCACCAACATTACGCCACCTATAAAGGCTACAACTAACAGGCTTTTCAGAAAATACAAATATATGTACACAGATAATACGATTTCAGGGATATCGCGGCCAAAACATACCATTCAAAGTCACGTTTCCGGCGATTTACTGCGCACTTACTTAGACTCTGGTCAGAATTAACTCCGACCGGAACCTTAAGGAGTATTAATTTCATAAGAAAATTTTAATATTCTTCAGAAACATTATATCTACCATATATCCAAATTTGGCTTGTATGCGATCATTACTTTTCCCGCGGCAGCGGTTTAAAGTCATGTGAAAAACACTGTGTTCTATGGCTACTTTTGCCAAGACGCGGCGCCTAGGCAGCTTTACAATGGAGAAATTAAAAAGTACCGTTTTTTGGGGTTTCGCTTTTCTCAAATCAGTTAAAACGGAAGGAAACGCCCGCTCTGGTCCTTGGCTAGGGATAGATGTAGTTTTATCGTCCTTTCTGTGCTGCATACTTGCGGAAAACCTCTTGTAAAGTTGGGATCGATGACGTCACGCAGTGACGTCATGCGTTGTCCAAGTTAAACAGCAGGGGGTCGCGTTTTTGCTTCACCGCTTTACATTAAAATGAAGAATACGTCAGATTTCGACCTTAGGTGATAGAACTGAGTCCACACTTTCCGAATCAAACGAGTCCGACACCAAACTCTTCACTACTTTGCCGTGAATGGCCTATTAAGTAGCACAGCGCACCTTAAATGTGTGAAAAACTGCGTTCTTACAAGGCGCAAAACACAATCGGGGTGATGCTGCCGTGGCTAGGAGCGAGTAGTTGAAATAAATGCTGCAAAGTTGCGTGAAGTACTTATTAGGCTATCACTTAACACCAGCCAACGAAAAGAAGTTCGCGATTGTAAGCAGCCCTGAACCGAAAATCAGAAAACCTAGTTTTGCCTTAAATAGGCCTAAAACAGTCGAATTTTGCTGTAAAATGTCTGTTGTAGTCACCATAAATGGAGAGACTTGGCCGAAGTTATGCGGAAGTCAAATTTAGAGGTCGGCTCACATGAAATGACATAGAAAATGAATTCATTTGAGAACATTTTATCGTCCAGAAACGATTAAAATTGACCTTCACGGAGATTCGGGGGGGGGGGGCTATCATTTCTGTACTAAACGCGGGTCGGAATTTTTCACTCTTTTGGTGGAAAGGGGTGCCGTGCCGCTTATCAATACACTTGATTGATATCTTCTGCACCCAATTTATTTAGGGGTAAATA